CAGAAACCCTATACAGGATTGCTGAGTCCAAACTAACTAGAAGGCACTTAACAACAATAATAGCATATAGTAACAGATCAGATCAGTGAAATAGAAGAGGGAAGCTCCAAATTACCCAGAGAGTACAGAGGAAATGAGGATATCATTGAGAGAGCATTTCACATTGATGGGGAAGAAAGAATCAAGGCCAAAGGGTCTGGATGCCAGGATTTCAGTATAAAGACTTTTTACCTTCCCTTGGTCTAAATGCAAAGGGTTAGAAATTCTAGTGCAAGAAAGATAGCATGCAGTGATATAGAGACAGAAAGACACAGAGACCATGTCAGTATTATATACATTTTCTATTTATTTACTAATTTGAGGGGCAATTTCAGGGATTTCCAACAGTAATTTTACTTTAGAAATGTATCTCTGTATAAGAACTAACTCCACTGTATAAACTTAGCTTCTTACTTTCCTCCTCTCTTAAATGGAGGCGATAAGACCTAGGTCCCAGTGTGACAGAACATTGTTGTTAAATGCCATCAAGTCAATTCTCACTCATAGTGATCCTGTGTAGGGTTTCCGAGGAGTGGCTGGTGGGTTTGAACTACCAACCTTGAGGTTCAAATATATAAAGAACAGATCACAGCAAAACATTTAAATGCTCACTGTGTGCGTCTCAGTGGTTTCCCCCTCCATTCCCAAGTACTGCTCATCCGTTCCTAAGTTTGGTGTTTCCCTTCCTAAGTATGGAACTATCTGCCATACCTTTCCAATACTGGTGATAGGCTGTCACCGTGATTTCCTCCGACACGTTTTGGATCTTCATTTGGACTCTTGAATTGTCCCCAAAATCCATCACCAGACAAAGAGACCCTTCAGAAGCCATTTGGACTCGGAACCCCAGATTTGGAGATGCCCATGTGTCAATTTCTGGTAAGCACTGAGTGACAGGATTCACCATGACAGTAGGACCTTGTACAGGGATGTTCTCAGGAAGACATGGACTGAGAAGGCAGGGCTTCCTAGGCCAAGATTGGGTCGATGAGACGCTCTGGGAACGCTCAGCACCAGGAGGAATGTCTACAGAACTGTGGAAAGAATCAGCATTATACAGGCACTAGTTACAGAAACTAAGTCTTCACACCCACCCACCCCTTCTGGATAACAGCCCCTCAGAAGAGGTCAACGTAAGCAAAATGTCAGAATCACTACTAGCTACATCAATAGCGGGAGTAATGAAAATCTTTTTCTTGCTATTGATGGACATGAAAACTTGGATATCCCAAAGTCACTACCTCATATGTTTTTATAAAAATGCTCTACATAGAGGAATATATGTGTAACCATGCTCTAAATAAGCTGTGGAGTCTAGTGAATAGTTGGGATTGTGATGATCAAAATTTAATTTTAAGAGGCTATTTCAGGGTGAGACATATGGTGTTGGTACAGTTGGGGAGCTGGCAAGAACTAAAGTAGGGTAGCATAAACTGAACGATAAAAGAGAGAAGATTTTCATAAAAGTGAGAAAGGCTTCAGTATCTTATGGTCAGTTCACCTGCTCTCTCCTCTTAAAGTGTGCTGTATCTGAGACATTAAAAACTACAACCACACAAGCCGTCAGTCTGGATATCTGCCTGATTTGAAACAAAAAGGCAAACAGCTGCACATGATACAATCGGGTACATTAAAGATGCTAAAGTCACCATCAGAATTTGAGCATGGCTCCTGAGTCAGCCACAAGAAGAGACAATAGCTTTCATATCACCCATTTTACCTTCTGCAAAAGGCGAGGAAATGTGAATTTGGCCACAGGAGGGATAGCTTGGTACTAGTGTGAACAGGGCCCACTGGCTCAATCCAGGCCCCAGTCTTAACAATGGTCAGTAACACATGGGCCCCAGGAGGGAGCTTCTTGACCACATCCTCCGCAGAGCACCATGGTCTAATGATACAATCAGGAATCTCTATTTTCAAGCTGTAGAGAGCCACTGCAGAGGAGTTGCACTGAAAAAAAAAAAAAAAAAAAAAATTTTTTTTTTTAATTGCAGCATATTTAAGGTTTACTAAATGGTCTACTTTCCGGCATAAGTGCTTTGTGCTAAAAAGAAAAGTCAGAGCAAATCTGGATGAGGCTATGTAGATCACACACATTTCCCCCACCTCAGGTAATGATGTGAGTTTGAGAAGGAGATTAACAGACTCTTCCTGCTGATCTCCAAGCGAGGGCTACACTGCAGTCAGCTGCACCAGGGTAAAGCTCTATCAGGAATTCCTGGAGTGATGATTATCAGAAGTTCCTATTGCTCCTCTGACCAAGCACATGGAAAGCCAGGTATTTGATATGGCCAGCTATAAATCAAGCAGCTGAGAGATGGTGCTTCTGCCGACAGTAAAACTCTATACCCCTTGATTGCAGTGACAAATTTTAGTTTTCCTTTCAGTCTGCATGAGCAGTATCCAAAGGCCTAGAAAAGCCCACTTTGGTTCACTACCAAACACCAAGAGTCAGTGCTATCTGGACACAGAGAGTCCTCACAGACACTCCCAAGTAGCTTACTAATAAAATTCAATTGTACAGTTTATATACTAACCTCAAGCAGATCAAAGAATGTATTATTTGTTTCCGCATTTGCACACGACGGATCTAGATCTGTTGCTTTTCCAGATATCTCTGATAGTAATACAAGATGCGGGGAAGTCCTAAATATTAAAGGAAAAAAGGAAACCTAGTAGTATTTATATTGAGAATTTGGTACAACAGATTATTACTCATGGAGTCCCTGAAGGGTGCAAATTAATAACAAGCCTGGCTTGCTATCCAGAAGTTTGGAGGCTTGAGTCCACTCAAAAATGTCTCAGTAGAAAAGACCCTATGAAGCACAGCTCTATTCTGACACATATGTGGTCATCATAAATTGAAATCAATTGTCAGCAACTGCTTTTTCTTGTTTTTGTTTTAGTCATAGGTGTCAGATGTCCTGCATACTTTCTCAAGGTTGATTACAAAGGAATACAATATAGTTCAGAACCAAACAAGAAAGGCTGTGACAAATATTCTAATGACAAGTTTTCACTGACAGAGTGCAACATATTTAATGTCATTAATTAAAGCTTATGCCCAACTCGAAGTCCTGGCAGGGTACTATAGGATAAGCACTGGACTGCAAGGTTGATTTGAACTGCAAGGTCAGTAGTTCAAACTCACGAGCTGTTCCTTGGAAACCCTGTGCAGGGTCACTATGAGTTGGAACTGACTTGAAAGCACTTAACATGTCCAACTCAGCCATGGATTCTGAAGGCTAATTCAACTAGAGTATTGAATTTCGAATGTTCTCCAATGGCTCCTCTTTCATGACAAAGACTGGTTTATGCTGTCTTAGCTGTACCTGAGACTCCGGTCAGAAAGAACCCAGTGTGTTCTTTGTAGGCAGTGCTAGACTGTTCAGTAATGATTCACTTGTGATGGGCCAGCCCACAAAGGAGAGGCCTCTCTCATGGTATCTTCCTTCATGTTTGGTACATTCAAACTCTGGGAGAAAAAGAGGGACTGGGAAGGGGCATAATGGATGAGACTATGGATTAGGTAAGGATAAGCACCAATGAGTGATGTCACTACAATAGAATTATGTTTCTGGTTGTCATCCACCCCTCATCTGTCTGCTTAGCATCCTGACCTGTATTCTGGAAGCTTTGCCACTGCAATTTCAAATGCTTGTGGGGTCACCCATGGTGGACAGGTTTCATCAGAGCTTCCAGACTAAGATTAGGAAGAAAGATCTGGTGATATTATTTCTGAAAATCAGCCAAAAAACCCTCTGGATTACAACAGAATCTGTCCAGTGTAATGCTGGAAAATGAGTCCCCTAGGTTAGAAAGCACTCAGTATGTGCAATGCCTACAACTATGGGCTTGAGCAGGCCAATGATCAGGAAGATGGCACAACCCCAGGTAAGTGACATTTTGTTCTGTTCTAATGAGGCAGCCTTGGAGCTGACTCCATAGCAACTAAAACCACAGTTGTTATGATCATCTCCAACTGGATGATGAGGCACCATTAACCCAACTGGAGGGAACTGGCTAAAGCCAGCATGCCCAGATCACTCAGACACCCACATGCTAACTCAGCTGTAATTCTAGGTACATTTCTTGGGAATTCCTTCCTCAAGCAAACAGTTTTCTTTCTCCACCTCTCCATTTAGATAGGTAAATGTGAATCTCTCATTTACTGCTATACAGTGTGAGACCAGCTCTCACTCCAGGCCAGACTCTTAGTGCCTGTCACCTTGAGTCTGCTTTGGGCTGGCACTGTTTTTCCACAGATGCGGTGTGAAGGATCGGGGTTTAGAAGAATGGGGCAAAAGCCAGAAAGAGGCTGGGGTGCAGGTCCCATGAAGCCTGGGGCATTACTCATTTACATGGTGCTCATTCCATGGCTTCTGTGTTTATTTTTCAGTCCAATTGGCATTGACTCCTAGTGTCTGGACCATGCTGAGGCACAAGGAGCTCAATGTCTTAAAGATCACAGCCTCATGCTTGTAACTACATGTGGAGTAACATCTGCAAGGGGCTCCGCTCATGGGAAAATACAAACATTATTTGATATTGGCATTTTCTCTGCCCTGATCCATCAACTGGGAGCCAACCACTAAGTATCAATTCCCCAGCTCTCCTTTCACATTTGTTTGACAGCCTCGGTCACATGTAGAGTACCACAAGCTAGAAATGACTCCCATGGTCCCTGCCAAATCTTCTCTTCTTGTCTTAGAATGGGTTCTCTAGAGATGCAAAATGAATGAAGTCTTATAGACACATCTATCTGGACAGATTTAACTCAAGGAAATGCTGCACGTGGTTAGAGAGTCTGGCAAGTACCAAGTGCATGGGTCAGATGTCTGCTTGGTAACTTCTGACTTATATAGTTACAAGGGCTGACAAACTCAAGATCAGCAGGTCAGACAACAGGCTGCTGGCCCCAGGTTGTGGAAGCTGACTAAACCCAAGAGTGGCAGGCAATATGGCAGGCTGCTGGCTCAAGGTCCAAGACCCAGAGATCAGATGATGATGAGTCAATGTAAGATCAAGGGAGGGCAAAAAAAAAAAAAAAAACAACAGTCAGTGAGCTTTTCCAGAATGCTCCTATCTATTGGATATAGGCTACTCCCTTGAAGAAACTACCTTTCAATTGACAGGTTGAAAATGTCAGACCCCATCATGGAAATGATCACATTATAACACAAACAGTATAACAGTATCATTGTTTAATGACCTGTGGGTTAATGCACTGGACTGCAAAGTCTCTTTGAACCAAAGTCAGTGGTTCAAGCTCACCAGCCACTCCTTGGAAACCTTATACAGGGTTGTTATGGGTTGGAACCAATTCAATGACCTTTACCAACCTGTAAAAACCAAATGATATTATACAACTGAAAAACCACTGCGACTCAGCTTAGCTAAACTGACACATCATTTTCACCCTCACATTCGTCCAGAATAGACATCCTGAATTACTTCAAGCATTCCTAGTCTAATGTATTTTCTAGGCAATTGCTTCCAGAGTTTTCTTAATTTGTTGTTGTTAGGTACCATCGATTTGGTGCCAATTCATAGCAACCCTATGCACAACAGTACAAAACACAGCCTGGTCCTGTACCACCTTCACAATTGTTACTCTTGGGCTCACTGTTGCTGCCATGGTGTCAGCCCATCTTGTTGGGGGGAAGGGGGGTCTTCTTCTTTTTCACTAACCCTCCACTTTACCAAGTAGAATGACTTGTCCTTCCTGATAACATGTCTGAAGTATGAGAGATGAAGTCTTGTCATCCTTGCTTCCAAGGAGCATTCTGGATGTACCTGTTTCAACAGAGACCTGTTTGTTCTTCTGATCATCCATGGTACTCTCAATATTCTTCTTCAAATACCATAACTCAAAGACATCAATTCTTCTATAGTCTTCCTTAGTCT